ATTCATTAGATATTTTGAATCAGGTTATTTAATTTAATCAATCACTAGTACTATATAATAGGCTAATTGAAAAGTCTTTGGATATTGTGAATCTGATATATTCAATTAAGTACTTTTAAAATTAAGGCCTATAATGATACTAATTCTTATATGATTTGAATTTACTGAGGTCATTTAAGTATTCTATAAGCTGGGCATTGTAATGAATTAAATTTATATTAATTCATATCATTGGTATTATGAACTTTGTTTCTTTGACAATTTTAATTATATGTGATTTAAGTTTACTAAGGCTATTGAAGTATTTTATAAACTAAATTATAGTTGTTATGAATTGAATTTAATTTATTATATTAACTCATATTATAAATTAAGTTTGCTTATTTGATAATTTTAATTATATATTTCTTGAAAATTTATTTTTATCAAATTATTTATCTGAATTATTAAATATTTTAAATTAGGTTTATTTGACTTAGTTGATTGCTAATATTATATATTAAGCTTATTTGAAAACTTTTTTGGTACTATACTAATATGTAATAATGCATATAGATATTATTTTGAAACTCTTATTTTTTTTGAAAATTGTTTTTTTGATTCAAAATAATGCCTATATACATCCTAAAATAGTGTGTTACTTTAAATATACTATAATACATATTTTTAGACTAAGTCTATTAATAAAAATAGTACTTTCTTTTATAACTCAAATTTATTAAAATAATTTAAATTACTATGTATGTGCATTCTAAAATAATATGCAGAGTTTTGAAATAATATGCAAATGCACATTATTATATGCCAGTACAGTATTGTGAATTAAGTTATTATAAATAATATGTATATAAATTAATTAAAAGTTAGCAATATAATAATAATAACTTTATTTTTGTAATAAAGATTTTAATTTTTAAGATTTAAATAATAAATTTAAGTTAACTAAGTTATTTGAATAATAATATTATAAATTTTAAATTTTATTAGTTTGAATAAATTATAATTAGAGTAAAAGTTTATATTAAACTAAAAGTAGATATTAGTAATATTATATTTATTTAATTTAATATAATCTTTAATATAATGTATAAAAATATAAATATTAATAAAAAAAATTGTTTTAATAAAATTAATATTAATAAAAATAGTTAGTCTAGTTATTATTTATTTTTTGTTATTCTTTTAAGCACATACATGCTCTAATTGTTATAAAATTTAAATTATATCTTCTAGAAGTAATTAATTCTTTAGCAACTAAAAATGCTCTTTCTATAGAAACACTTGTAGCTAAATATTAAAATTAAAAGTTTAAATAATTATATTTATATGTTAATATTAATAAAATATTAAATTTTATACCTTGAACTGATAAATAATCTTTTGTTATTTTAGATAAATATTTAAATTCATATTCATAATTCTATATTTTAAATATTATTTTAAAAAATATTTATATTATTTATAAAAAAATTAAAATTATTATTTATCTTTTATTATAATAATATATTATCAAATAAATATAGATTTACAGTTAAATTTCTTAAATAAATTTCTAATTTATCAGTATATATAGTTTTTTGTTTTTTAAAAATATGTAGTATATTTTTATTTAATATATTTCATTTAATATATTTTTAGCAGTAGAAGTTTGAGTTAGTTGATATTTAGATTTTCATAATTCTTGAATTTGATTTTATAAATTTTAATATATTCTTTGTTAAATCTATTTTCTCTATAATAATCTAATCTAAGTTTTGGATCTAAAACTAAAAATATAGTATAATATTAATAAATAAAAATAATAAATTTTTAACAAAAAATAAATATATAT